GACAGAGCAAGACTCTGCCTCAAAAAAAGAAAAAAAGAATATATATATTTTTTGAGACAGGGTCTTACTCTGTCCCCCAGGCTGGAGTGCAGTGGCATGATACAGGCTCACTGCAACCTCCGCCTCCCAAGTTCAAGCCATTCTCCTGCCTCAGCTTCCCAAGTAGCTGGGATTACAGGCATGCAACACCATTCCCAGCTAATTTTTCGTATTTTTAGTAGAGACAGGGTTTCACCAGGCTGGTCTTGAACTCCTGACCTCAGGTGATCCACCCGCCTTGGCCTCTCAAAGTGCTGGGATTACCAGTGTGAGCCACCGCACCCGGCCAAAAAAGGATATTTTGAGAGAAAGAGAGCGACCCCATTCACACAAATTTTGTTTTGTTTTACTTTGTTTTGTTTTTGAGACGGAGTTTTGCTCTTGTTGCCCAGGCTGGAGTGCAATGGCATGACCTTGGCTCACTGCAACTTCTGCCTCCTAGGGTCAAGTGATTCTCTTGCCTCAGCCTCCCAAGTAGCTGGGATTACAGGCTCCCACCACCATGCCCGGCTAATTTTTATATTTTTAGTAGACAGGGTTTCATCATGTTGACGAGGCTGGTCTCGAATTCCTGACCTCAGGTGACCCATCCGCCTCGGCCTCCCAAAGTGCTGGGATTACAGGCATGAGCCACTGTGCCTGGCTTCACATAACTTTTATCACAGTGTATTGTTAAAATCGTTCTATTTTATTATTGTTAATCTCTTAGAAGGAATACTCGTCTACTCCTTGCCTAATTTATAAATCAGACTTTGTCATAGGTTTAAACTTACCATATAGGAAAAAACATAGCGTATGCAGGATTCAGGATTATCCACGGTTTCAGGGGGTCTTGGAGCGAAGCCCCATGGGTGAGGGAGCTGTCTGGATCTTGGCGGTTTTCCACATGGTCAACACAGATCTCTTTGTCATGGCTGCAGGCTTTCATGCTGCTTGGGTGCATTTATTCCCTGATGAACACTAGGCTGTTTCTTGTTTTTTTTTTTTTTTGCCATACTCAATAATGCCACAGTGGAAGTTCTATTTTTTTTTCTCTCCCAACTTTTACTTTAAGTTCCAGGGCATACGTGCAGGTTTGTTACACAGGGAAACGTGTGTCATGATGGTTTGCTGCATAGACACAGTGGAAATTATTTGTTTTTTTTCTGACATGGAGTCTGGCTGTGTTGCCCAGGCTGGAGTGCAGGGGCGCAATCTCAGCTCACTGCAACCTCCACCTTCTGGGTTCAAGTGATTCTCCTGCCTCAGCCTCCCAAGTAGCTGGGATTACAGGCACCCGCCACCATGCCTGGCTAATTTTTGCATTTTTAGTAGAGATGGGGTTTTGCCGTGTTGGCCAGGCTGGTCTTGAATTCCTAACCTCAGGTGATTCACCTGCCTCGGCCTCCTCAAGTGCTGGGATTCCAGACGTAAGCCACTATGCCCAGCCCAGTGGAAATTCTTGAATGCTATTCAGCGTGGGAGAAAGAGGCAGTGTATTCAGGTGGGTGGTAGATGGATGTAGCCGGCTCCTTGGGACGTGCACACCACCCTCGGGGTACAGAGGAAGCTTGTCCTACATATAGGTGGCATTGTCCTGTCAAGGTCAAGGTGTTGGCCCCATTGCTGAGATCCCAAGACATTGAGTGACAGACCCAAATGTCAGGGAGATGGAGGACACAGAGAGAGGAGGCTGAAGCCAAAGGCAGAAGGCAAGCTGGCTTGGGGAAGCCCTTACCCAGGGGTCGGCAAACTTTTCCTGAAAAGGGCCAGATAGGAAATGCCAAGGCTGGGCTCGGTGGCTCAAACCTGTAATCCCAGCACTTTTGGAGGCCGAGGCGGGCGGATTACCTGAGGTCGAAAGTTCGAGACCAGCCTGACCAACATGTAGAAAGTCTATCTCTACTAAAAATACAAAAATTAGCCAGGTATGACGGCACATGCCTGTAATCCCAGCTGCTCGGGAGGTTGAGGCATGAAAATTTTTTGAACCCAGGAGGTGGAGGTTGCAGCAAGCCAAGATCGCACCATTGCACTCCAGCGTGAGAAACAAAAGTGAAACTTCATCTCAAAAAACAAAAAAGGAAATGCTTCAGGCACTACGGGCCAGGAGGTCACTGTCACCACCACTCAGCAATGCCCGGCAGCTCAAAAGCTGCCCTAGATAATACATAAATGAACTGAGCAGGGCCGTATTCCAATACAACTTTATTTATCGACATGGAAATTTAAGTTTGATATAATTTTTATGTGTTATGAAATAATACTCTTTTGTGACCCTTTATGAACCATCTAAAAATGCAAAGTCATTCTTAGCTTGTGGGTCATACAAAAACACTGGAGGTAAGTCATTTTTGTCACATTCTGTCAGCAGACGAGGGGCCAGGCGAGGCTAAGAGGCGGCTCCAGCATCTCAGAGCATTGACTCATAGACCTTCCCCAGACCCTCCCTAGAGCTCCATCCGGGCTGGGAAGAGGAAGGATCTGGAGATTTTCACGAGTGTCCCAGCAGTGACAATGGACTGTTTCTGGGCAGGCAGACTCAGCAAGGCTCTCCTGGGCGCTGGGGACGACTAAACCATCAGCTTCGGCTCTGAGAGCTCTGTGGTGAGGCTTCCCAAGGTGGAATGCATGTGGACCAGGCTCCTGGTATTGTCAGAACTACTGGAAGATTGTTTTCAAGATAATCTGGAGCAGGAAGAGAAGACACAAAAGCCCCAGAAATGGAGCAGCTCTTGGCAGGAATTTGATTAAGGAAATGGAACGGAGCTGGATGCAGTGGCTCATGCCTGTAATCCTAACACTTTGGGAGGCTGAGGCAGGAAGATCACTTGAAGTCAAGAGTTCAAGACAGCCTGGTTAGAGGTATAATATGGTGAGATTTAAAAAAAAAAAAAAAGGTAATACTAGCCTGGGGAACATAGGGAGACCCCATCTCTACAAAAAAAATTTTTTTTTTTTTTTTTTTGAGACGGAGTTTCGCTCCTGTTACCCAGGCTGGAGTGCAATGGCGCGATCTCAGCTCACCGCAACCTCCGCCTCCTGGGTTCAGGCAATTCTCCTGCCTCAGTCTCCCGAGTAGCTGGGATTACAGGCACACGCCACCATGCCCAGCTGAATTTTTGTATTTTTAGTAGAGACGGGGTTTCACCATGTTGACCAGGATGGTCTCGATCTCTTGACCTCATGATCCACCCGCCTCGGCCTCCCAAAGTGCTGGGATTACAGGCTTGAGCCACCTCGCCCGGCCTTACAAAAAATATTAAAATTAGCCGGGCATGGTGGCACACCTTTGTAGTCCCAGCTACTCAGGAGGCTGAGGTAGGATCACCACTTGAGCCCAAGAGGCAGCAAAGAACTAAGATTTTGCCACTGTACTCCAGCCTGGGTGCAGCAGAGGAGACAGTCTCTAAAAAAAAAAAAAAAAGAAAAAAAATAAGATGGTTATTCTTAGGTTCTATCTTTCCAAGATTCTCAGCTTGTTTTTTTTTTTTTGAGACGGAGTCTTGCTTTGTCACCCAGGCTGGAGGTACAATCCTGGCTCACTGCAACCTCTGCCTCCTGGGTTCAAGCAATTCTCATGCCTCAGCCTCCTGAGTAGCTGGGATTACAGGCGCGTGCCACCATTATCTGGCTAAGTTTTTGTATTTTTAGTAGAGACGGAGTTTGTCTATGTTGGCCAAGCTGGTCTTGAACTCAGGCTGGTTTGCACATCTAAGGGGCTCTGACAGGACCCACGCAGTCTACCATGGAAGGGCTGAGGAAGGCCAGGGATGAGGCCCCACCTGGGTGAGCACGCTGTCCTTCTGGGTCAGAGTCTCAATGATTTCAAAGTGATCCACGTCACGGAGCTTTTCAAACGAGGCTTTCCACCCTCCTTGACACAGGATCTGGGCAGGAGAGACGGGAGGAGGGGCCTGCGCTGTGGCGGGAGGCGGGGCAGGACTTGGGGCCATGCCCAGCACAGGTCAGGGTTCACTCATTATGTGCTGAATAAATGATGGACAGTCTTGTCCACTTGGGTGAAAGAAAGAGGAAAATCATGAGCTCACATGACCCTCGACCTCTGGCCACAAACCTGTGCTGGGAGTACCTGGTAAAACTCCCAGGACTGTCGGTGGAATTCGGGGGAGTCGAACTGGCCCACGACCACCAGCACAGGGCAGGAGGGGTCCGCCGGCTGCGCCTGGGCCACCTTCAGCTGGGGGCTGTTCCTCCGAGCGTCCTCCCTGGGGCAGGGAGTGGACAGGGGTCAGGACAGAGACAAGCCAGTCTCCAGGTGACCCAGGGGTGCTGGTGGGCAAGTGGCTCACAGGGTCAGCTGGAGAGCAACGTTCTGTGACGTATACACCATAGGCTCCAGGTCAAAGACTCCGCTCACCAGGAAAAAGCCTGTGAAGGTGCAGAATGGTCACAGGGCCAGGCTCCAGGCAGAGAAAGGTAGGGCCAGCCCGCCCCCAAGACCAGAGGGGCAGGGGCAGGGGAGGGGGCACACAGGAAGCAGAGAAGGCCTGGCTCACAGGGCTCGGAGCCCTGCGGTCAAGCCACTCACAGCCGGGAGGATTTCAGGCAGCTGGGCCAAACCCCAAGGCCCGTGGGGAGATGAAGGCTGCCCAGCCAGGCTGCAGCCCCCTGGAAACCTTTGAGGTTGGGCGTGACTCCATGCTTGGTCCAGTCGGCCAGGAGCATCATGGCAGCCAGGTGGGCCCCGGCTGAGTGTCCACACAGGTAAATTCCCCTGGGATGGGTCAGAACAGAGAGCTGGATTTGCACTCAGTTTCCACACATCAGGCCCACTTCAAATTGTCCCAATTTGCCTTCTGTTCCACAGGCCAGAGGGGAAGCATAGCTGTGTCCAAAGGACTGATTCCACTGTTTTCCCACCCAGCAGGGTCCGACAGGAAGAGACTCTGCCGGCAACACCCACTCATTGCTTGGATACCGCTTCTGGACAAACGCAATGCTGCGGGTCACCTGGTCTACCATCTGGTCCAGGGTACCTGCATAGAGGGCATGAGCTGGGTCAGGGGCTCTCAGGGCCCCCTAAAGCCCACCAGCCCTTGGGCCTGCAGCAGCCACCCCTATTACCTTTAGGGGCGATGTTGTAACCCACTATCACCACGGCCACTCCCTGCGCTGCCAGTGGGTCGGCCATGAAGGCGGACTGGTCCTTACTGCAGAGAGAGGCACAGATGTGAAGGCTAGAGGCGACTTGGCCACTGTGCTGCTTCCTGCATCCTGAGCACAACACTTGCCAGATGTCCCGTCCACACACAGCATCACCCCTTTCCAGCCCCGTGTGACAAGGTGATGAGGACAGGCTCTCTCCCTGCCACATCGCATTTGCGCTATGGGACCTTGGGGGGACTTCATGTAACTTTTTTTTTTTTTAAGCAGTAGGGCCTCGCTCTGTTGCCCAGGCTGGAGTGTAATAGTGTGATCACAGTTCACTGCAGCCTCGACCTCCTGGGCTCAAGCGATCCTCCTGCCTCAGCCTCCCAAGCAGGAGTACAGATGTGCACCATTATGCCCAGCAAATTTATTTTTTCTTTCGTAGAGGTGGAGGTCTTGGGCGTCTTGCTATGTTGACCATGCTGGTTTCTAACTCCTGGCGATCCTTCTGCCTCCGCCTCCCAAAGTGAGGGATTATAGGTGTGAGCCACTGTGCCTGGCAATTTATGTAACTTCTAAGCGTGGTTTCCTCATCCATAAAATAGGGGCAATTATGTTCCCTCTTAGGGAACTGTTTTGAGAATTAAAGAGTAACAGTGTAGAGAGTTCTGTGGGCAATAAATGTAAGCTTTTTTTAAGCTTTTTTTTTTTTTTTTTTTTTTTTTGAGGCAGGTTCCTGCTTTTTCCCCCATCACCCAGGCTGAAGTGCAGTGGCCCAATCTCGGCTCAGTGCAACCTCCACCTCCTGGGTTCAAGTGATTCTCCTGCCTCAGCTTCCCAAGTAGCTGGGATTACAGGCACACGCCACCACGTTCATCTAATTTTTGTATTTTTAGTAGAGATAGGGTTTCACCATGTTGGCCGGGCTGGCCTCAAACTCCTGACCTCAAGTGATCTACCCGCCTCACCCTTCCAAAGTGTTGGGGTTACAGGTGTGAGCCACCGCTCCTGGTCATTAAATGTAAGCCATTAACATGAACAAGGTTGAAGGCAACTCTGTAGGAAGGTCCTAGAGAACAGCACGGTCTGCCAAGATCCCAATTTCCCACTGCTTGGCTTACAGTGGCCGACTGTCCCTTTTTTTTTTCCCTAAAGCGCTGAAAACCTCATGTTCTGGGAAACTCCTCCTTAGTCCCAAGCAAACTGGGACAGTGGTTGGTCACTCTGGCTCTTCCCTTGATTCAACAGGAGGCTGAACATGCTTCTCATTGGGTGTAGTGGGTTGAACTGTGTCCCCTCAAAAGATACGTCCAAATCCTGACCCTCAGAACCTGTGAATATGACCTCATTAAAAAAAGGAGGCTGTGGCGCATGCCTGTAATCCCAGCTACTCAGGAGGCTGAGGCAGGAGAATCGCTTGAACCTGGGAGGCGGAGGCTGCAGTGAGCTGAGGTTGCACCACTGCACTCCAGTCTGGGCTACAGAGTGAGACTCTGTCTCAACAAAAAAAAAAAAAAAAAAGCAGAGGGAGATTTGAGACACAAGGATCACACATGAATGGCCGCAGGGGCTGGAGCCATGCAGACGAGCCCAGGACGGCCTGTGGCCACTGCGAGCTGGAGGAGGCAGGAAGGATCCTCCTGACAGCCGCCTTCCTGGGAACCAGCCCTGCCCACATTGCCTTCAGACTTCCGCCCTCCAGCGCTGCGAGACACCTGCCTGCAGGAAGCTGCCCAGCCTGTGGCAGTTGTCGGGAAGAGGAGTCCCCCAGGACATCTCTCTTGCACTGCACCATCCACATGCCCCGACTCACCTTCCGCTCTGCCAGTATCCTCCGTGAAAGAACAGGAAGAAAGGCAAGGCTGCAAAATCAAGCAGGGGACACATGGGCGGGGCTGGCCTCGCGGAGCTCTGCCAGTGGACCCCCGGCCCCGGGACCCCCGGCCCCTTCACTGACCACCTTCAGCTGCCTTGTTGGGAAAGTAGATGTCCACTCTCTCCCCTTCTCCATCTCCATAGGGGACGTGCAGCAGGCTTTTCCAGGTGGCCTGGGCCCTCCCGGTAGCTGTCGCAGAAATGAACAAGTTGCTGTTAACACAAGCTCAGGTGACGGCGGCTTCTATTTCAGCTCGGGGTACAAACCTTCCCGCAGAAAGCTCCCTGAAGTTATGTGTGATCTTTAGCTCCGAGCACCTCCCATGGAAAGACGACTTCCGGTCCTGACGCCTGTCAACCAGTGAACCGTGGTTTTACGAGGACTCTTTTCAGCACGACTTTACTACACACTTACATGCCTCTAGGGAAGGATCCTCCCTGCCTCCTGCAGCTCTTGGTGGCTGTAGGCATTCCTAGGCCTGTGGATACATCACTCCAGGAGCCTCTGCCTCCTCCAGTCTCTGCCTCCGTCTTCACGTGGTCCCCTCCCTGTGTGCCCCTCCCTCTCTGTCTCTTAGCAGGACACCAGTTATGGGATTTAGGGCCCACACTAACCCAGAATGACTTTAGCTAATAACACCCACAAAGATGGCCTTTCAAATAAGGAAATACCAGGGGGCGCTGTCATCCCAGCACTTTGGGAAGTTGAGGTGGGCAGATCACCTGAGGTCAGGAGTTCAAAGCCAGCCTGGCCAACATGGCGAAAACCCATCTCTACTAAAAATACAAAAAATAGCTGGGGGAAGCGGCGGGTACATGTAATCCCAGCTACTAGGGAGGCTGAGGCAGGAGAATCACTTGAACTCAGAGGCAGAGGTGGCAGTGAACTGAGATCGCACCACTGCACTCCAGCCTGGGCGACAGAGCGAGACCCTGTCTCAAACAAAACAAAACAAGAAAACACCAAATAAGGATACAGGTTCCCAGGGTTAGGATTTGGACATGTCTCTTTTCTTGGTGTTGTGGTAGGGGTCATCTTTATTTGGCACTGCAGATGCTGAGTGTTTTATATAACACAGTTTTCAGAATTCTAGCTAGTCAGCAGAGACCTAAGGCCTCTGGGGGCCATCATGCAGGTCCATGCCCCACCTTTCACATCCTGCACCCCTAGGATCCAGACCCCCCCTTCTCACAGCTGTGTTCCGCACCATCAGGGGACCCTTGGGGTGCCAGGTTGATCTCCCTAAAAGAGGTGGAATCCAGCTCCCTGTAGAACCTGCGTCTCAGAAAGGGCTCAGCGTATTACCCTGCAACTTGGGATCCTTGTCCCTGGAGGCCCCCTGGTCCCCAACCTTGGTGGCCACAGTAGGCCTAGAAAAAAAGGCCTATGCTTCCCTCGGGTGAATGATTCATTCTGTACCTCCAGAAGCGTAAATACGGCAGAGGAAGACAGAGGCCTGGGACTGAGCGCTCCTAGGAATGGCATCTATGCCAGCATGAGGGAACGGCGGCTATGCCAGCATGAGGGAACGGCGTCCATGCCAGCATGAGGGAACGGCGTCCATGCCAGCATGAGGGAACGGCGTCCATGCCAGCATGAGGGAACGGCG